TATTGAAGATGTAATAGATGAATTCAAAGCATGTGTGCCGATAAAAAAAAGACTTGAACTTTAGATTTTACGTACTCTCCATAAAATAACAACATTATAAATATGTTAAAATTATTCAAAAGCATTCAATATAGTATATACTTGATCTTAAATAAATAATAAATTTTTTTTAATAAATATAAATCAAATTTCAAACTACTTATTTCTACAGTGCATTGTTTAATATTCTACTGTAAAACTATGTGTGATTTTAGATTCTAAGGGAAGTAAAGAAGCTAAGTAGTATATATGCAAAAACTTAGATTGTAACTTGAATCTCATATGCGTTAAAAGAAAATGCAAATAAATTAAGGGAAGATTAGAAAATTTATTTGTGAGGGGCCCTATATTTCTTATTGCATAACCTGCGAATAAAGTCTGCGCACGCCTATGGTTACACGTATTATATTGAATTTTAAAAATATGACTTTAATGGACTATTTAAAACTTAAATTAACCTGCACCATACAGTAAAGGTTTATAATACTGGAGTTTATCAATTGCACTTAAAATTACCTTTTCATACACCAATTGCAAAAAACCATTTTAGGGTCGATTAACAAATCGCGCAATTTCTCTTACTCAAGTAACGTTTGAACGATTGTTTTCTAAACTTAAAATTATAAAAACACGTTTAAAAAGTGGTTTAACACAAGATAATTTGAAATCATTATTTTTGAAGAACTGTGAAAGAGAATTGTTGGCCAACATTACACCAGCTCAAGTAATAGACTTAATGTGTGAACAATGCACAAAAATGTTAAGAATGTTGAAAATTTGGTTTTTAAACATTTTACTGAACTATTTATATATTATTGTACTTGTGCTGTCAAATAACTAACAAGAAATAAATATCGGGCATTAGAATGTGTTATTCTACATACAGTAAATTGTATTTAACGAAACAATTAGAATGATAAATAACCAATATTACTGAAAACTTGTTATTGTATATCGTTGAAATTAATATTTGCATGATCAAATGTGCCTAATTATGTTTCATAAAATTCCCCCTACTGTTAAAAAATACATTATAAGCAGTCATTTTAACCAGTAATACATTTTATTACGAGTAACAATATTTTCATATCTGAAGTAGGCAAATTTGAATAGCGCAATTGGTATTTTGACCGTAAAATATAAAAAGCGCAATTGGTACACTAACCGTAAAATATAAAAAGCGCAATCGGTACACTAACCGTAAAATATATGGAACGCAATTGTTCCATATAATATCCATGCCCATATAATACAGCCAATAAGTAATAAAATTATTTGTGGAGGACTTGAGGCAATACATGTTGACATTGAATTCAAAGTAGTTGACATGGTTTCCAGCTGTTATTTTGAATATAAAAGATGCTACATATGTGGTGAAATATTTGATAGTATTACTTTGAAGTTATAAGATACATCATATAGTACATAATATAAATTGTAATCCAGAATAAATCCGTGTTTAAAGTGGCAAAAAAGAGTTTCATATAGTCCTATATAATTAACTAACTCGGCTATTAATTATAAATACATATGTATATAGATGTTATGCAGCGTTTTTAATGAAAAATTTCTTCCACTAATTATTCATGTGCTGTAAAAATATTACACACTTGTAAATAACTTTCTAACTAACCTACTAACTTACTAACTTATTATTTTAAATAACTGATTGTTAATATATTTTAATAAATAAAAAATATTAATGAAACATATTTATAATTATATATTGGTATATAATTAATAATTTATATTTAATATTAGTTTTATTTGTAGAACACTGTTTAACACCTAGTAACATCAATTAAATTGCATAGCTAATTTTTCAACTGTTTTATTGTGTATGATTATTTTTATCAAACAGTTGTCCATTTTAGTAAAATTTTTGGAGAATATTAAAGGGGACGCTTTATAATTACTATACTTATTGAGATTACATTTTTGGGAATTTCATATTTTATTATTGACATTTTAGAATATAAGATATTATTTATAGTCTATAATTATCAAAAAATATTGCACACAAAATAAATTCATTTAAAATGCATATTTAATACAATAGGTTTTTTCTACCACAAGAAAATGGATACATATCTTAAATCTAAACACTTTTTTTCTTTAGATCAAACCAATTGTTGAGAGTTTACCTATTAAGTCACGACAAAACATAAACGTCATTCACTTCGTAAAAACCAATTTCAGTTGCCGGATAAACTCTGTTGTTTATTTATCATCTATTAAAACTTGGTAATTGGTTGTTATACAATTTTAACGATATCAATATTAAAGGAAGAATATTTTATTTAATATTTATTTGTACAAAGTGCGTTCACAGTCAGACTAGGTCTAGTCAGCAATAGGTAGGTAAATTCCGATGTGTTTTAAATACTTCTGAATTAATCTAAAATATAATATATTTTAGACTGCATATTTGTTTTCACTTTTTACTCAGTAAGAACTTAGAGCCTTAGTTAGACCAAGGTTATCTTGTGAATGTCATACAATAACTTCAATACTATAGCTAATAAAAAATTACCTTTATATTTCCATGCATTGCGACAATAATACAGTAGTGGCTAGTAAGTGGCTCAAAACAAATTTGCTATTACATATTATAAACTTTATATAAAACGATGTTATGATTTATTCGCACAAAATGGTTCTATGACAAAATTATATTTATTCGTATATATTTTTATAAACATATTGCGCAAACACTGTGTGTAAACGTTATTTACATTTGTTTATTTGCTTAATATCATATATTTGATTAAAAATCGATTTTATAATTTTTTTTTAATGTAAATTATGAAAAATAAATCTAAAAGAATGCTAAAACCATAATATTTTTAAAACAGTTTACAATAATTATATAATGATTAAAAGTATTTGTTATAATCAGAACAATTTATATATAAGGATTATTGAATATGAAATAAGTTGAGTTATTAAATTTTAAACACTGATTTTATTGTTCGTTTATAGTTCAATAAGGTTATTCTAAAATTGTAAGCAAAAGTATTCTAGTATATCACAGTAGTGGATTTGTATAATATAATGGTTAAACCTTGAGGTACAAAAAAAGCTCACTTAAAGTATTATTAATTGTTATTAAAAATTATTTTTTACTAATAGGTATTGGCTCCAAATTTTTTTCTTGTTTTTACCTAATAATAATTGTATTAATAAATAATTTATCACTACATTTCCCTTTTTCATTATCTATTATTTTACTTTTGTTTTTATTTCTCCTTTCATTATATATTTTTCAAAAAATTCATGGTGTCACAATATTTTTTATTACATAGATGACGGGTAAAATAAATAAATATATTTTAAGGGGTTTTACGTATTAGCATAACGATTGTATAGCAGATTAAATGGCGATACGTTCGTGTTTTTTGTACACTATGACGTATCTTCACCGATTTAATGCAGCTGATTACTCACTTGTTAATGCGTTCTGTAGTTTTTCCTTGGAATTAACTGCGTGATCCCATGTGGCCGTCATCATTTTAATTTCTGTAAAAAAAAAAAATTATAATAATAATAATTATAATGTTATTTTATTAAAACAACTAGGATTTTGGAAATCTGTGCATCTCGAACGGTCGGGTGTAGTTTATTTCTACGCAAAACATCGCCCTAAATTTGTAAATGTTGAAGGGCAACCGATTATATAGTATACGGCAATGATCATTCATACGAATGGTCACTATTACGTAAGACAGTAGCTGGAACAATTTGTTGGGGGGGGTTTAAAACTAAATAATACATATTCGTAATAATTAAAATTGCGTGAAACTCTTAGGTCGAATGAGATACAGGTGTAATTTTATACATTTTTAATTTTTATAGCACTAACCCTTAAGGTATTTTAATCTTTTCATGGTTGAAAAAGTGCATTCTGGTATTATAGAAGCTAAAAGTGGAAATGTAGTTAATAATTTAAAAAGAAAGCCGTACTTATTTGGAAAATACTCAGAATTACATTTAATACATGCTTCAACAGTCTAATTTGTTCAGTGAGATTATTATTAAGCCTCACTTGAAGTTTAAAAAAAAAAAATAGTTATTATTATTCAGTAATTTTCTTTATTCCATAGTAAGTGTACTTTTTTTACTTGTATAATGTGCTATTATAATGCATATCTACCGATAAAATGATGACGCCTTTCGAGGAAATTGTTTTGTTTTATTTTCGGGCGGTACTAGTTTGCGCACAAATATCAAAAAGACAACTTGTTTGGGCACAAAACTACCACTCGTTTGGGAACAGTCGAGTCGTAATCATACACATGGTTTGCGCATAGTTACCTTTTAGACTTTAATAGTTTAATACCTTGCATATTAATATTTCTTTATTATTTAAGTATTTGCATACGTTTTCCTTCCCCCTTAACAGACTTAGGACTGTCTATGAAAGTATTCATATGTGTGGTTAAAAATGTATGTTAATTGCTTATTAATAATTGTAATAAATAATATTTAATACTTGTTCAAGTTAAAAATGCATGATAATTTTAATTTTAATATAATATGATTGGTATATATACGTATATGATAATATATACGTGTCTATTATTTTTTGCAATAAAAGTTTCCCATTATTTGAATGTATTTAATTTGGTCTATTTCGTCAGATGTATATTTTGTCCATTAGTTTATGCGATGTTCAACTAATTCTATTGACTCCTTACGGCAATAATTATTTATATTTTTGTTGATTGATGTTATTTTTAATTCTGTTTTGCTTTGTATTTTAAGAATTACGCTTATTACCTGGTGTATGTGGGGATGTGAAGTGTAAAATTGTTGGTTAAAATGTCTATGAAATGCTTCTACACCGTTCGTAGTTCGAGGTTCGTCTTTTGGATGTCCTGCCCATAACGTAGGATTAAATTTTGAATCGGGAATTATATATGTTTCAAGAACGTAGTTGGAAATGAAAAATCTGACGTTGGGCAATCTGATATTAATTGTGTAAAGGTATCTTTTATTTCTTCTGGAGGTAAATACGGCAAACCAAAAAAACTTTTAAGCCAATTACCAATATTGGAATTTTTGTTATTATACTCAAGTAATAATTGTTTGTTACTTTGAATGTGCCGAAACTAACTTTGAGATAAATGAAAAGTACAAGTCACAATTTTACAATCGGGATAAAGATTTAGTAAAGCATTATGTGTGGATATTTCAAAATCTACATGGAACTCTTTAATATTTACTTCTTAGTTAAGCGTATAGACACAAAGATCCTGAATTGTTATCCATATTGTATTATACGTTGAAATTGACTTACTCTTCAAAAAAATATTATTTTCGTGTGCGCAAACGAGTTCCGATTTTTCAGGTAAAAATTATGAATTGTGCGCAAACAAGTTGCAGCCTTATTTTCTGCAATTTTTGTTGGCAGTATTTTCAAATCCAGAAATTTTGAAAACATTTTAAAGTCGTTTGTCTTGGTTTCAAATTTGTCACCAATATTTGGTAATAACTTAGACAGTCAAGAAATTTGTTTCTTATTAAGCTTTAAATAGACCTCAAACAGTTGGGAGAAAGGCGAAGGCGAAGAAGATGGCAATATCAAACATAATTTTTTAATTACCTAAGTTACAGATATTTTTTTCGTTAATAAAACGACTACAATAATCTTTTGTGATTATTTAATATAATATATATAGAAAACACCAACAGAATTCGTATCCAGTTGTATCCACTTCTTAACAATTAAGAAAATATGTAAATAATATGTAAATAAAATTAAGAAAATAAAGAAAAAATAATAATAATAATAATAATAAAAATTAAGAAAATATGTAAATAATATGTAAATTATTTACATCCATATGCAATATACGGTTGGAACCCGATTGAGTACGGTTGCAATCAAACAATAGGAACTGAAAAAGAACCCATAAACCACATGATTGAGCATGAAAATGGGTGCGACGTTGCCGCTTTGTACCGTAGAATATTAATTGGTGCACTGTATTACTGTGCATTCAAAATTTTTTTATAATTATTATGCAATTCAATTTTAGATTTGTAACGATTATTTGATAATTTAGAATATTTACGGCTCAGGTTTCTTAAAAGAAATAACTCTTCAATAAAAAACAACAAGACACTTTTTTTTTTGCATTTTTTATGTTGTTGGTGTATAGAGCTCGGTGCGTCCATATTATTATTATAAAATAAATTATATTTGATTATAATTATTTATAGTTAAAAATTTTATTGGATTTTAATCATATGTTATAATTACGTTTTTTTTTTTTTTGCTAAAAATAGCACTCATACAACTGTCATGAAAAAGGTAAAAATTTAAATTTTTTTCTCTAAATACTTATTTTCAACTTTCAATAAGTATTTAAGTAGGTTGTCAGCATTTTTAAATTCAGAGTGCTCACGATAAGCCTTTATAGTTGTATTTTTAACGTACCGTAAAGTCAAGGTGTGCGCGACAGTTTTCGAAATATCGCGCCATAATTTTACTGCGCGACACTCGTGTGTTGTGTTCTATTCGTTTTAATGTACTTTAACAAAACGCGCAGTAAAATTACGGCGCGGTAAAAATGTCGCGCGGTAAAATAACGCTAGTGTGTTGCCAGCCTAATAGTTAGTTTTCAATCTGACAACGTTGTACACAATATTTATTTTTTTTTACCGTACTCAATTGGGTTGTCAAAAAGGTTGGCCGATAACGACCGTGCTCAATCGGGTATCACCGCAATATACACGTGTAATAATAAATAAATACACGAGTATTAAATATACTAATATACAAGAATACACATGGGTATTAGTGTACACGGGTTTAAGTATATTTTTTGCCTGCGTGCCCGGCATGTCCGTGTACCCGTGTATTCTAATACCAGTTCACAATCACGACCTCTAGTTGAAACCGCCCTCTCACCCCTTCCATATACGGTCTTGTTATTGGGTACGTTTATGTTATTATTATATTGGTATAATGAATATGTAATGGATACGCGATGATATCGTAATGAGTGAACTTACGGTCTGCTTGAGGATTGAACAACTGTAACAGCACGCCGATGAAAAAATCAAAATATACCAAAAAGTTCATTTGAAATACTTAGACTGTTCACGTAGCACGAAAAAACGCCGTTCGGTTAACATTTTTCGTTCAGCCGTCGGTCGTTAAACAACATGCTGGTCCGTCTACCGTCTCGGGAACTGAAAAAAAAACACACCGAATAAAAAACTATTTCGCACCTATTACGCAAGCGCGCGCATGCACACACGTGTGTACGGGTGTGTACGCGGCGTACATTAAACCATCGAAGTTTTACATGCTATTGTACTTCATCGGCACCGCCGCCGCCAACGCCGTTGTGCGACCAGGGGTTTCCAGACCACGGTCCGCGACTTCCAAAATATTATATTATTAAAAATGAAAAACCAAAAAATAAAAAATACTATACACAAATAAACGGTTTGCATAGTACTTATGCTCAACGATTAATAAATAGTAATTGTCCAGCGAACACTTAATAATAAGTTCGTATTATACTTCTAAATGCATATTCGAACACGTCCCTTGAACAGTACCCGGTACGTATGGTTTTATCATTATCTTCCCAATCGTTATAGATCATATTAAATGATACATTCATTTGATCATCGAATTAGTAGTAATAACATATCTGCACACGTTTCGTTAACATATTATAATGTTACAGATCTTACGAACGTAACTCTGTAGTGTTGCTAAAATATTTTAAGGAAATCGGCGGTAAAATGATTCTGCAGTAAAACATCGATAACGAGATTAAATTATAGCAAATATGGCAGGAAATTTTATTGATTTTTATTTTTATTTTATACTATCCCATCATGTTGCGATGTTCTTAAAGATCTCGTAAAGTCCTCGTGTTTAAAAGTTTGGAGACTGCTGACATATGTAAGTGTTTTCAAGCCTGATAAGTGGCCCGAGCGAAACGCCACAATCAATATGCATGTACACACCAATATATCAAAGTACTCTACACTGTATTTATTATTTATGTGCATACATTAAGAGTACTTCAGCGATGAAATTTTCAACATTTTAATAGTATCATTATTATTAAAATAAATTTACTTTCATTAACAGCACATAGGTATTATACGGTATTTATTTTACGCATAATTATTACAACATCCACACGTGATATGCTTCCTGCATATTTTCGTTCGTACAGTTGTGTGATATCATTTGAATATTGTACATTGGTACCATAAATCATCGAAGTACAAAAACCCGGAATAGAATATTGTTCGAAAAATTATATTTTAGGTACATGCAAAATAAACACAATCAAATATTGAATCAATATTTTATCGTTAAAATTAAGTTTAAACAAAAACTACGAGAGTTATCTATAGTGGAATATAATTGACTGATAACCTATTATATAGTGGAACATATATTTGAAAATCGGACCATGAATAATCACATGAACACAAGTACTGGTACATGTAAATGAATGAATGTTGATTATATTATAGTTTATAATTTCATTGACATATCGCACATTCATATAAAAAAACAGTAACAATTCAAAAAGTTGGTTTTTTTAGTTAAACGTATATTCGGATTCTACAAACGAAATTACATAAATCAACAAAACAGGTTTATCTTTATCTTTAATATTCTCCGTCAGATTGCAATGTAAGTACATTTTATTGAATGAATGATACCAAGGTACCACCAACAAAACCGACATTCCTGAAAAATGCGTTTTTTTGAGTTGTTACTGTTTTGATATAGGTATGCGATATTATGTATAAATTATAAATTTTTTTTGAAAAAATAGATAAATATCCCTTAAATATCCCATAAATATCCCTATCAGTAACGAAAGTAATACATTCTATGTATGTGATAACGTGAAACACTATCATTTGATGTCTACACCAAATACAAAGGGACAATGACTTGTTGTCGGTAAACGGAAAGCAGTTGGTAATTTTATATTTATATGGTATTCGTACTTTTGTAATTAACTATGATAGGTGGTATTCTAATCGCGGTGTAGTACTTAAGGCCAAAAATGCTATTAATGACACTTACTATTTTTAATCAATATCAATGATTTCAATAAATTCTCGCATACAACGTGAATTTAGCAAATCTATCAAAAGCTTAAGCTTTAAAAATTGATGGATTATACTTTGTTAAATGGTATTTAAAATAAATTATACATCAAGAGTTTATTTTACAATGGGTGTGTGTTATAATACATAGATACGGCAATAAAGTGGGACAATCGATTATATAGGTAGGAGGCGAAGTACCAAAAACGATTATGATAATTCAGCCAACATTCGTTTACAAAATAATAAATAATTTAATTCAATTTTTATTCGCTTGAATTTCACCTATGTACAATAAAACAGGTCCGTATCACCAGCACGGCCACTTTTGAATAATAGTACCAAACCTTGACAGTATTTTGTACTTTTTTTTATACAATTTTGTACAACTAAAATAAAATGTTGTACACCCACCCAAACCCGATAATGATACAATCACCTATAAAATACTGTATTTAGTTTATTACATTTTTCTCATAAGGTCAGTGTTACGCACTACGGAGTACCTTTTACCATTCTAATCTATTAAGTAGTAAATATCATTATACAATTTATAATTGTTAACTTTTGTTATCTATAAGATAGCAGTGGTACAGGTACCTACCTTGTATAGGTACATACTAACAACGGATATAGTCATGTCTTAGTATTTTGCATCTTTTGTTGACACGTCATGTACTTGTATTGATGATGTTCCTGATTATATAAATAAAGAATTAAAATATTAATTTAAAACTTTTTTTTTAATTCATGTTGAAATTTATTAATATAATAAGTATGTGATAAAATTATTTAATTATTTATGATTTTTTTTTTTAAAAAAAAAGGGCAGATACGCATAAAGTGAAGGTTTGAAGGATATGGGAAAAGATATAGGAGTATATAAATATATTTAAATTTTAGGCCGGGCGCCCACTAGAGCAACGTCGCACGTGACATCGCATGTGGCGTGGCAAGTAGCGTAATAGTAACGTGGCAGTGGCATAACACGACGCACACCAAAATAGCTTTGGCAACAAGATAACAGTTTTTATTTTCAATACATAATTAATAGATTGGCTTAGTCGACATTGTTAAGTTACCAACTCCGGTTGAGTTGCATTCAAAATGTCTACCTCATCAGATGATGATACTACTTTGGAGCTAATAAATTTAATAAATATGAATTATTATAATAATAATCATTCTAATAATCGTCAAAAGGGAAAAACAACATGGTGCTTTTAATATATTCAAAGAACTACATTTTTACTCAGAGAGGTTTCAGTCATTTTATAGAATGAACCCCAACACCTTCAACTTATTACTTGAAAAAGTGGGACCGTCAATTAAAAAATTAGACACAAAATTCAGGGATTCAGTTCCACCTGAAGAACGAATTTTAATCACTTTGAGGTGAGTAAAAGAATTATAGTTTACATAAAAAAATTATACTTTTGTAAACATATTAAATCTGTAATAATTACGTGTTATTTATTTTAATGAATTATAATAGGTACTGTCTTGTATTAAAAAAAGCAAAATGATTTCAAATTAATGAAAATAACTCCTTTTTTATAAAAAAAATAAATAAATAAAACCTGAGAAATTGTTTTAAGTCTAAAGTAAGTGAATATTACTGGATGTTGAAGAATACGTGTTTGATGCTTATTGGAATACAGGTGGTTCAAAAGTTTGAATAACAGACGGCGGTGAAGTATAATTTATTTGGTTGAATGAAGAAGGTGATTCGGAACTTGAATTTTATAAAAGATCATTATTTATAATTGATGACGGTGTTGATGTAGAGTTGCTGAATGGTTCTGGAGTTGGTCTGTATGAAAATTTACTTAAAATGTCCCCAACTATTTTTAAAATTTCAATCTTAAATCTTCTTTTTTGCTTCGAGTTCATTTCTTTCATGTCAGGCAAAACACTCATCAAAAATGATTCATCTGAATCCTGAATCTTCTTTTCAGAAATATTCGAACCAACATTTTTTTTTGGACTGAAAGTATTCAAATATTGATTTATTCACATCAGTTAGAGAAATGGTATGTTTTGAAGTTTTTTGTTTTTTATTAGGTGGGGGGAGTAGTCCATCACAAAACTTACTTAGTGGTTGTACATCATTTGTATGTTAAGTTTCTGATCCTAACTCATCTTCAGATGCTTTTTGCATGTCGTTGAGCGTCTTATTACTTTTTTCGATGTTAGAATCTTCAGAGAAACTTTCAGATACATAATTGATTGATGAAACTGACTGTCGAGATTTAGTAAACGGCTGTAGAAAGTGCATATGTTCGGCAAGATAATACGGCCTTCTTGATTTTGTAGTACTACCTGAAGAACCGATATTTGACTTTAAATAGCGTGTATAAGATCCCCTTAAATGTTTCCATCGTTCTTTACACTTTGATGCTGTAATTATAAATGTATGTACTTAAAAATAACTATACATAAAAAACAACGTAAAAAAAGGATTACATTATACACATAATATAAATTAAAATTTTTCTTCTTGATTATTAACTATATAATTAAGTTTTAATATTTTTAAGAAAAATTGTTTCCAGATATTTTGCAACTGGTGGTTCTTTTAAGGCTCTATCATTCTACTTTCTTCGAGGTTATACTAAAATAAGAAAAATTATATTTGAAACATCACAAGCAGTTTAGGAAAATTTGTAACCAGAATATATGCCAAACCCAACAACAGAACACTGGTTAAAAGTTTCTGATCGTTATCGGAAATTATGGAACTTGCCTAACTGTATAGGGAGCTTGGATGGCAAGCATATAAAAATCAAAGCCCTTCGAATTCTGGTTCATAATTTTACAACTACAAAGGTTACTTTTCTATAGTTTTAATGGCTGTGTCGGACGCTGATGGATTATTTTTATCAATTGACGTTGGTGAATATGAGAGAAATAGCGATGGCAGAGCATTGAAGGAAAGCGCATTCGGAAAAGCATTATTTGATAAACAACTGAAACTTCCAAAACCATCTCCTTTGCCAGGAGAAGAAAAAGTTTTCCTTTATTATTTTGTAGCAAACGAAGCTTTTCCTCTCACTAATAATATTATGAAACCATATCCTCGTAGACAACTCACAAATGAAAGACGAATATATAACTATAGAATTTCAAGAGGTCGAAAATCATTAGAATGTTCTTTTGGTATGCTTGCATCAAAATTTAGAGTTTTGGAAACACCAATTCATTGTAATGTGGGAAGAATTGATAACATCGTACAGGCTCTATGTGTACTACATAACTTCATACGTATTCACGAAGGAACATATTCAGAACCAGCTATGGAGCAAGATACAACAAATTATTTAAATGAAGATCAACCAAACCAAAGTCAAAGAAATAATCAAAGATCAACAAACAATACTATATATTTAAGAAATCGATTATGTAATTTTTTTTTAAAGCCTGGTCAAATTTTACCATGGCAAGAAAAATATACCGTTTAAAAATAAACAATTTTAATAAAAATTAAGTATTAATATTAAATAAATTTACTTTTTATAAAACATTAGTACTATTATAATATATTACACAAATTATTACGAATTCGGAAATCATAATATAATTTTATATATGTAAATATATATACATATACCTATAACAAATTATTATTTTATTTTTCCTAAATCCAGCTTTTATTTTGAGAGTTAAAATATTTTAACCAATTATGCTGTGAACAAACTGGCTGACGTAACAAGTGTAGATACAGTGTAATAATATGTAGATAACAAAAAATAATTTTAGTCAAATAACTATTATTTTTAATTTTTATTATATCGAAAACAAATTTTGAAGAAAAAAACTACTGTAAAATGACCAGGTTAAGTAAGTTACTAGATATTGTTACGTAATAAAACAGAAAGAATTGAAAATAAATTAGTAAATATAATTACTTACCAGATTCAGATGGCTGTTTTGCAACGTTTTCCCAAGTTCTATCAACAGCGTATTTATTGCAATAATTTGATAGTATGATAGTATGGTCGTAAAGCATTAGATTATTTTCAATAATACTGACAAAACGTATATTATAATCGGGATCGTCTCTCATATTTTTAAATTTTTATAATTATAATTCGATACCAAAAAAATGTTGTACAATGATGATGCGTCGCAAGACGCAAGTGGCAAGAAAATAGAACATGCTCTATTCTAATGATAGTAACGTGGCACGCTACTCGTCATGTGACTGCTATATCAGTTAGGTGGGCGCACACTTATCTAATTAAATTGGGTTTATCCGAAATAACATGCCAGATACATGCTACTTGCCACGCCACATGCGACGCCACGTGCGACGTTGCTCAAGTGGGCACCCGGCCTATTTTGTATAAAAGAAAGCATAGGCGCAATTTGGGGGGGATTTGGGTGTACTTAGCACCCTCATTTTTGAAATTAGCACCCCCAAATGTGTTTATGTTAATTTACATTTAAATACTCATTACTCAATATGTATAGAAAAACAATAGTTTTTGAGTTTTTTTGTATAAGTATATAAATTTTTGTACAATACGAAAAAAAATATCAACTATAGGGTAACAGTTTCAAGTTTCTAGCCACATTGCTTTTGGAATTATGACTAAATAACTAAAATTTGAAATGTGAAAGTCTTAATTATAACGTATTTTTAACATTTCAGGACAGTTATTTTCTCACGTCTAGAAAAACTATTAAGATTTAAAAAAATGACCAATCTTAAGTACCACTGCATGGAAATTTAAAATTTAAAAAAGGTTCTAGAAAAAACTTTTGAACCAGTATTTCTATCCGAAAAAGAGTAAAACAAACATAATACAAACATCATTATATAACCAAATTATCCTTCGTTTCAGTCAGAATCTAAAAGTGATCATGTAATAAAACATTTGTGTTTACAGACATGTAATTCGTTGTACGCACAATAAAAATATAAAATCAAAGTGAACAATTTAAATTTAGAAATATTCATATATTTACCAAATATTTTAATAACTGTTAAACTGTAAGGTTCGCGGGTATCTATAAACATTAAGGAATATGAAAAAGATAGAAGGTTATCAGCACCATCAAATTTTTATTGAAATTGAATTGTGCCCCGGAAAGTAAGGATAAAAAAAAATTCAAGTAGGTAGCAAAGTAAGGAAGTATATGTCATAAACAATATCCACAGTTTGAACCACACTATTCGACTGTTACACTGTTTTTACTTAAATTAAATATAAAAATGTACACAATACTAGGATTTATATAGAGTCAGGAATAATTGCATGACATAATATACACTTATACCGTTCAAATTTACATTGGAAATAATTTTGTTTGCGTGTGCGTACAGATGAAAATCCGGTAAAAAACTGTCCCAGTATTCCTACACAACTACCAACAACGCCATTTAAAGCAATAACATTTTACGTCCCCTGCCCTCTCTACCTTTTTTTTTTTGTAAAATTTGTTTTTATATTTTTAGCTTATAATTTACTTCATTCGGTAAATATGTAAGTTTATATTATCTTATGTATACAATTCTCCGGTCACAGTGTTTATTATTGAACTCCTCTGAAACAGCTTGATCGGTTTTAATGAAATTTTTTGTATATATTTGGTAGGTAGTTTGATAATAGATTATAAACCATTTTCTAAACTCCTAGGTGTTAAGGGTGGCCAATCACAAACGTATAAATTGTAAACTTATAATACAAGCAGAGCATTGGCTCAATATCCATGCCAACTGTAAATTGTAAATATTATATATTTTTATTGCATGAAAAATGTAAACACCGAATGGCATTGCTATCTGAAAATCTGAAATTGATAGACGCTGTCTTTATATCTACTTTCTAAATTTTAATACGAATCTTAAAAAATATTGTCCAATTAAAAACTTAAAGAGTTGAGTTTAGTGAAGGCATAACGCGGCTTGACCAACATACTAATTCAGCGTTTCCCAACTTTTTTTCTGCCGGACCCCTTATATCCCATATTAGTCACATATTACATCTTTAGATAACCGCCCATCGCATGACTCGTTTAGACAAAGATAGAATGCGTTCTCTCATTTAACAAATTCAATTCTAAAAAATGTTTTATCCTATCCTACAAACATTATGAAAGCACGTGTTATAAATGAAGAATATTTACTTAAAATTCTACATAACTCATCTGTATTTCTAAGCTTATATATATATATATGTTTCGTAACCCTCCGAGGGTTGCCTGAGATATTTTTCGGTTATTTTTCACGTTTTGAATATTGATTGATCGGATGATCTGAAAGAAAGCAACGGTTGAATTGTTCATAGCAATATATTGTTCTATGTCCGTGCACATTAACGTTATGATCACAATATGTATTGAAAAATACCATAAAAAACTACAATAACGATATATGACAACAGAACGGTACTATTTGAGTGCTGAGTGTTCTTCGAAAAAACTTTAACCTGTGATGTTCATCGTCACCGGTAACAATTGTGTCGGCTTTTGACGAGTTTGATTGATGGTACAATGTTTTGCAGATAACCGATCGATTGGTCGGTTTTCCGATTGTTTCGTCTTGAAATGAGTCCTTTAGTTGCGATGAAGAAAGGCCACACATCAAGGTTACGTGCAAGGTATTTGTGGCAACCTTACCTTATGCTCCTCCTCGTCACCCGTAGCTCATGTCCAATGTCGCGTCCGGAGTTTAGTGTCATGTCTGGTATTAATGTCTTGTCCGGTGTTCATGTCGTGTCTGGTAATAAATGTCGTGTCATGTATATAATGTCATGTTCTGTATATAATGTCAAGTCTGGTGTTTAATGTCGAGTCCGGTGTGTAACGTCACGTTCGATAATGATTAGCCGGCCGCGGCGGGTACCCGGATCACGTCCACCAGGGGGTAAGCCGACCACCGAAAATCGACTTCTACCTCGTCCGTGGCCGTGCACCCTGGCCTGGCCACGACCTCAGTGGACCATGTTGCCACGGACCGGAAGGTGATGTCTTCGCCGTCATCGTGGTCATCTGCATAGCCGTCGTTGGCGTGCGGCTCAGGGACCTCGATCGTGACCACGACGTGCACGCGAGTTTTCACCATCTCGGAGGTTATCTCGGCCGCGTCACTTCTCGGTCGGATCACGCACTCAGCAGCCCAAGTGAGCGCCATATCAACCTGGTGCGTCTCAAACCAGGACGGAGTAGCGATCACGAACACTTCGGAGGTGACATCGACCGAAGTGGTCACTTCGATGACGTTGGACGCGTAGTGCGTTTCGGTGTCCCCGCGTTCCTGCAGGACCAGGGCCGGTACCGATGGAACGACGTCACGATCGGTCTCCACTGCTTTCAGGCACCGTTTATGCGCGAACGTCTGTCTGCAAACTGCGAAACAAAAACATACAGTCACGGCGTCATAAAAAACAGTGTAGTGCGTGTGCAAGTATGACTAACTGATAATCGAGAACTTTATAAAAAACCGCTTCTAACGCCAAAAAAAACTAATGAACAAGTTTAAACAATTTAATCGATCGTTATAAACTGGAGCAATTAATTTTTTTTTTCCTATTCCGTTCGCTTCAGGAATTGATTAGATTATTTAAACGATGTATATTTTTATGATGATTTTTTCGAGATGAACTATTTATTTAAATCGAGAAACAAAACGCTAGATACTCGAGATTGTTTTACGTTTTAAAAACTTGATTATTTTTCAATGATAAAATATCACCGATAATCACGACATATCACCGTTTTATTGACTCAGCCAAACCGATTCTGCAGCACTTCGCTGTTTACAACAGTTTAGCGTGATTAGAGAAAATCTTAATTTACCTTAATTGCATAAAGATAAAAAAGAAATTTGTATGAAGTCCTTTCATAATCACAATAGTGATAACGGATAACTGTAATGCTGAATTTTGATATTTAGAATTTTGTATCCAAAGGGATGTGAACGAAATTACCGCGTTCCGCTGATGAAATACAATAAATTAATTTTTACTTTTGCATTTCGCCATTTTCTTGCCAAACCAATTTCGGCGACCACACAAGTGGCATTCACGGCACCATCTTCTCTTCCAATTCACTTGATCAACTTCGAAATCATGGGAGCAATCGATGCTGTTTGCAATAAAAACACCATTAGTTTACTATAAATTCTTGCATGTGAAACACGTTACATACCTTGAAGACATCTTTCTGTTTGTTCTGTATATAAGTGCAGAGCTGAAATTCATCCGTGCAAGTAATCAATCAAATGAGACTAACGGGCGCCTCGTTTGTTATCGACGAAAAAAATTATAAAATCAACTTAGTAACAAACGCATTGATGTATGTACCAGCGCATAAATATAAATATACTACCTGACCCGACAAATGTTGTTTTTTCATATAAATTATTTCCAGAGAATATTTTGCTAGAAAAAAATAACTAATTTAATATAGGCATGAAAGGATGTGGGTAAGGATAAGGATGTAAGGAAGAGGTATG